GCCTCCATTAATGAGCAGCTCGTGGTGCCATCCTGAAGCACACTCTGACACCACCTCGCACCCTGGCAAGGAGGGCCTCGCTCACGGCTCAGCGCCAGCCTGGCGAGGGCAGGAACAGCTCCAGGAGCCTGCAGGGGCTGGGGCTTGCAGACAAGGCTTCCTGCTTGGGGTCCTTCACTCCCTTTGACCTTCAGGACCCAAGCACCCAGCTCAGGCCAAGAAGCACCCAGCCCAACATCCACGGTCCCAGTGGCAGCAGGCTTCAACGTCACCTCAAGTACAGGAGATGCACTTTAGAAGTTGCCTCTGCCAGACTTTAGCAATAAGGTAGCAAAATGGCTAAGAGAACATTTTTGCATGTTCTTAAGAGAAATATACTTTACGATTATGTTTCCTATAATAGCCAATTTTTCAAAGCTTCCTGTGCTATGTTCAATGCTCCTTTTCCCTTTTTTAGTATTGAGCTTGTCAAAAACTCTTAGGATCTATCTTTCTAAAATAATAAAAAACTGCTTTATATTCCTTTGTAACAAAGTATAGGCCTCCTTCAAAATAGAGAGGACTAGAAATCTCCAGAAAAATATTTCTTACATTGTCTCGCTCAAGCAAGGCTTCTCTCAGATTCCTTTGCTAAGCAGAGGACCATGGCTTACCAGGGCAGAGCTGGTAAGACCCACTGGAGGTCAGACCCTCTCCAGCTTCTCCTCCATTCCTTATGCTTCAAAATAGAGCAGAGATTTACCCCAGGTTTTTAGACTGGCATAGATGGCAATGTTTTGGAAAGTTTTTAATGGGAAAGAAGTGGATGCTTCCCACAGAGATACTTCTCCATTTCAGCAGAAGCTCTTGAGAATAAAAAACAATGACCCTTTTTTTTTTTTTTTTTTTTTTTTTTTTGCTACAAGAAGAAGGCTGTTTTACCTTTCATTTGCCAAGTACACATAGCTAACTACAGTACTTGCACAGCGAAAAGGTGTCAATATCAGCCCTGAACACAAGTACTCAAGTACCTCCTTACTCCCTAAGGCAGGTGCAGCTGCTCCTTCCCAGCTCTCTCAGCTCAGAAGTAGCTGGCTGTATTACAAAATCATATCTATCTTAAAAAAATGACCAAACACTTTCCTTGACCTTTTTCACCATTAGAGAGTTTATCACCTCCCAGATAACAGCATGGAGGGAAGAGGAGGAAGAGGAGGAAGAGGAGGAAGAAGGGGTGGGTCAGGAATTCATTATCTCACACGCTCCAGCTATGCATAATCTTTTGCTCTTCCTACACAGATGGTTTCTGGAAACTTTCTCCTCCCCCTTCGACCTTCCTTTTAACAGAAGTCCTAAAATATCTTATTAATAGTCTGACCACATCTATTTTACCCTTCTCCAGCCAGGGTAAAATTTATTTCTCTTCCCCTGCTTCCGAAAGCCCTTGGGAGGTCTAAGGTCTGGAGAGAGCTGAAGAGGGGGATAGGAAGAAAGCCTTATTTAAAGTTCTCCTCTTCTGCTTTACAAAAGTCAGAGTTGACACAATAGGAAGAACTTTAATCCATAAAATGGATCAAAAAAGCTCCATGTCAAAGCCAACAGACACCATGCAACCTACTGCTACTTCATGTCATTCCAGAGAAAAATCAAGTGCAGAAAAGGCCCAAGCTCCCCAGACTAAAGTGAAGACAAAGCAAGGCTGGATTTTACTGATAGGTGGATTTAGTGGGTGTTTTCTGATTTCAGAGCAAAAGGCCTGCATTTTAAAATGCTTCTGCTTTTTAGTGACAAGTCAATATTCTGTAAAGGGCTCTGAATGTCAAATGTGGATTGAGCTGAAATCTGAAACCCATTAAAGTGGATGGAAATTCCAAATTACTGCTTTTAATTGTGGGTTCAAAGGAGAATTTGGACACTAGGACTTGTCTTCAGGGCTATGACCCAAACTCAGAGAGCTTGAACCTTTGCCTTAGTTACTTATTGATCTTTACTGAGCTCTCAAAACCACAAATGCAAATGCTCAGTTTATCTTATAGAAGTTGCCAAGGAGCAAACTAACCCTCAGCAGCCTTTCCACAAAATTCACCCAGTCCCACAGCTGTGGCTTGTCATGGTTTGTTTGCCTGTGCAATGCTCAGTGTTTCAAGCTGAGCCTACAAGGAAATGTGCAAAAGTGATGAACATCCCTGTTTCTTGAAGTTTAACACTGTAATTTTGAAAATCACTGCATATAGAAGTGCTGCTTATAAAGTATTAATGGCAAGATTGGGGCTGATACAGACAAGGCTGGCAGAGAGCAACTGTTGTTATCAGTACCTGTGATTTGTTGAATCTCCTAACTAAGCAATTCTGAGAGATGTGCAAAGTGGTATTGCTTGAAACAAGTGGTATAGAAAATGATGAAAATACTCAAATGTGAGATAATCTTAAAATAAAAATGGAATGCAAACTCAAAACCAGTGTAGAATGACAATGTATTTTATGGACAAAGAAAAGCATGAGTTAGTCAATTCTGGATTGGTTTTTTACCTTTTTTTTTTTTTTTTTTTTTTAATTTTTTTAACTTTCTGCATACCAATACATCACTACTTTGCACTTCCAAATTCAGAATTCTGGGATAACATCTCCACAAATGGAATTGAAGTTTTACTTCATGAAGGATTTCCTTTGTCTATTTTCTATTTATGTTTTACCAATATTGTAAAGTACAAAGTCTTTTAGGATAGATTAAACTGCCACCAGAAAAACATATTCAAAGCAAAACATAAAATTGGCAAAATTAGTCATTTTCAGTGAAACAGCTTCCCAGGTCAAAGATTACTTGCTGAAGAAACACTAGCTGAAGATGCAGCATTATAAATGGTGTTCTCTCAGCCACTTGTACCAGAGGTCGAATAATTCATTTCTTAGTAAGAAATATGATGGTCTATTAACAGAAAGAAAGATTAGGTGCACATTAATCAAACATTTCAGAGATATATAAACATGCACATAGCATCTAGGAATATCCCATTACCCTATTTCAGAAGATATATGTAATCAATATTTCAAATATACCTAGTTAGTTTCATACCATTGACTTTTAAGTAATCTCCCCTTCCCCCCCTTTGTAAAATAGGCAGAGCTTTCAAAGGTAGCATCAGTAATTTTCTGAAGTGCTGCTTGACCAAAATAAGTATTTAAGCTGGGCTATCTGTGCTGTTCAAGCAAACCAGGCTGAAGACAAACATAATGTGATCTCCCACAAACAAGCAGAAACAAAAATATTTACTAACTACTGTTATCAGAGTTCTTTGGGAAGAGCATTGACTTGAAATAGCATTAATTCTTCACCTTTATCTGGCTGAGGGGAGCTTCTAAAACATTGGCTTTTCCCCCTGCCCATATTCTAACCATTAAAAAAACATTAAAATACATTTGTGGAAACCAGTCAATTAGAGGCAAAAATTTGTTGTTTGTACTGTGGCATTTGCAAACATCAGTCTTTTCACTACTTGTTGCATGAAGTAAATATGTTTTGATTTGATAGCTGCTTGTTTCCAGAAAGAGCTCTAGGGAAAGGGAGAGTCCTTTGGCCCATGGCAACATTTACCTGGTACTCTGCTGACAGTGCCTCTTATCATTGCATTCTTCTTGCAGGAGGAGGACCAATTTAAAATAGAAGACTTCCTCATCTCTGGACATCAATTAATACAACCTCAGTCTCTGAGCTCCAGGATGTATTACATTCTTTTCATAAAAACCGTAGCCTGAAACTCAATCCTCTCCCCGCCCCCCCCCCCACACCTTTCCCCAAATACTCACAAGAAATGGTGCATCTTTTAAGAAGGGCAGTGGAAGGAGTATTTAGGGAAAAATACCTGCCTTCAAAATCAATACCCTCAAACCATATCTGATAGCCAGCAGTTGCAATTTTAAAGTAAATCTCCCAGTACGGAATTGTCTCACCAGAGTACGAGGCTGTTAGTTATTTATTAGTAAATCATCAGAGTTTTCACAGACATGAAAAAAAGTCTGAAGAAATCCAGATGCTCTTTCATGTTGTACTCTAAAAAGTCTGGAGTATGCAGCATTCCTTTCATTAGCTCTGTACATTCCCTCAGGCTTACACAGCTTGCACTTCAACACCTTTAATATGGTGGCTCTGTGTCGAGGAGCACATTTCTGAGTTCAGTCTGGGAAATGTTTCTAGGCATTTGTATTGGGCTTATTCATAGAGGGATGGCTGGGAATTGGCTTCATCCAGCCGTGGGAGATTTGACTTTGCTCCATGCAGCTGAAGAAAGGACACAGCCATGAGTCACCTAATTGCCTTGAAGCAAATGTAGATTCCTCCTGACAGCACTTAGATATTTAAGCTCAGAGTTTAGCAATGGGCAGCTTGTGTTTACACAAAAATAGAAAAAGAGAGAAGCAGCTACTTTAGAGGTGGTGAAAATGTTGTAGGTTTCATAAAGAAAGCAACATGAGCTCTGGGACCTTCCTGTACTTTCTGGGAATGACAGGACCCTTTGCTGGCATGGGCTCCCCAAAACAGGCAGGAGAATCTGCTCCAGGGCTGGCAGGTTTCGAAAGTTGCCAGAGCAAAGGGGAGAGTGTATTTTTCCTGTGTTTTTTTCAGGTTTTAAAGCACTGTACAATGTGTGAGGACAGCTGCACAGGGAGCCCACAGCTGCAGATTATCAGAGAAAAAGGGGACTTTCTGGAAAGTCTCCCTGAAGAAACAGACAGGGCTTCTATTCTAGGACTGATGTATGTGTAGATGCTCACATGACAGCCTTTGGATCTAGATGAAAGACAGCTTGGAGAATCAGGCAATCTTAGATTCTTCACTTAGATGTCCTCAGTAACAAAATGACCTGAATGAGGGACAGGGCGTCACTCTTGAGTAAAAACCATGCAGAAGTTCTAGAAGACTATGAAAAGTAGTCTAGAGCTATGATCCATTACAGCAGAGCTGGGGAGATTTTCATTCTTGGACTTTGAGTCAAGGAACACGCTCATCAGGCAGCAAGGGTTCAGCCAAGAATTTTGTTTTAATAAGCACTATAAAAGCTACATCAAAAGAATGAAACACGAACATAATGTTTGCACTTGAACAGAGACATCCCCATCTATTGAACCAGCTCCTTTCGCAGTGTTTACTCAATACCCAGCGAGCCCATCTGCACTTCCCTCATTAGGAAGGAGCTCCAGGGGAGCACGGGGCTGTCGGCACAGCTCCTCTCAGCACAGCAGCCACGGCCGGCAGGGTGTGTCACCCAGCTCCAGCTGCCACCTTGCTGCATAGGTGTGTCACCCAGCTCCAGCTGCCACCTTGCTGCACAGGTGTGTCACCCAGCTCCAGCTGCCACCTTGCTGCACAGGGTGTGTCACCCAGCTCCAGCCGCCACCTTGCACACCGTGTGGGACTTGTGAGGATGCTGCCAATGGCCAATACACCCAGACAGGCGCCCACGTGCCCTGCTTAGAGGAACACCCTGGACATCTCTTCCTCTGCAGATCCACGAGTTTTCTGAGAAGAAACAAAGGTGAATTGCACGATCAAGGGTTCCATCTGCACACTGCTTTCCTCAAGCCAGATTCCCTCCCCTCTTGCACATTGAGCAGCCGTGTGTGTGTTGTACATGGACACCATGTAAAATTTAACTGGGTGACATGTACAGTCAGTATATGTAGTATGGCTGTTGGGCGGGTGTTCCAAAGAATGTCTGACTTGTGTGAAACAGGTAACTTTTTGGGATTAAAGGAATTTTTTGGCCCTTGCAGGTGCAGTCAGTTAACGGTTGCTGTATTTTGCCCATGCATGATCATTGCTGTTCACATTAACTCTGAAAGGGCCAATAAATGAGGAAGAATAATCTGAGACGTTCCAGTTGCTAAGGCAATGAATTAATCAGCATGTATGTGTTCAGCAGATTCACATGATCCTGCCAAGGCCTACAGCTTTAGGTCTCCTGCAATATTTTTGCCAGCATGAGAGAAGGGAGCAGAGGAATTGGCAAGGAATAAAGTGTCAATGGTTAGGGCTGTAATAAAAAATTTGGAAGGAGAAAGCAGCACCTACTGCAACACATTCATGTATTATGTGATGTCATAGCATGCCAACAAAATGAGGCTCTTTGCCATCATTCTGTGCAACAGCTTCATTTAGCCTAATTATTTGGTATAAAATCCCCTTGTCCAGTAAGAGCTGATTTCTCCTCCCAGAGTTGTGAATCTGAGCTGAATGATATTCAGTGCATTTGATCATATTTACAGACCCTGAACCAACTCTTCAGCTGACATGACATTGCTTCACTTAAATCATTAAATTTCTGTCTATCTCGGGAGCTGAGTTCTTTAAAGGCCTCTTGGAGTAAGATGCAAACCAGCCAAGCAGCACCAACACCATTTCCAAACCCAAGAGCATCACTGCATGCTCTGGAGGGCTGAGGACAGCAGAGCATAGTTGATATGCTTAGGTCAACCTACAGTTTGTAAATGGTTTTGATGTTGATCAGGCAGTCCAACATAGTGGCTATAAATTAAGTACTATGATCCCCTCTGATACATGCAATTCACCAGGAAAACAAAACAAAACAAAACAAAACACCACAAAAACAAAAACAAAAAACCAAAACAAAACAAAACAAAAAGGGGGGGGGGAAACCAAACCAAGTTGGCTTTTTTGAGTTAGGAAGATCACATGAAGTGGTTTGGGTTTTGGGTTCAGGATGAATTCCCACTTACTCACTTAAATATCAGAGATGAGGGCTTTCTTACAGTTCTTTACCACAAGTCAGGAGTTAGCCAATAAATCCTATCCCTGTCACTTTCCTCTAGGCCACAGTCATGGGAATATTTAGTGGACAACATTTGCACTGTTCCCTACCTGAGCTGCTGTGCTGCTTCTTTTTCTCTTTTACAGACAGAAGCATCACTGTGCATATGCACCTAGAAGATAGTTTCTGAATAATTGTACACATGCTGTTCTTACAGCTGGTGATCCATACCTCCTTTTCAGTTTAGAGCCCCTTTGGTTTCCTAAGGAAGCTTACCTGCTCTGTTATCTGAAATGAAGGGTAGCCTTTAGCTAAGGCCAATACAGCCCCCCACATTCAGTGAGGTTTAGCCAAACCTGAAACAAAAAGGTGCCTTTAATGAGGGAGTCCAAGCCTGACCTCCAGGGTCACTCTGGGGTGAGACATCCACTCGAGCTACCACCGTAAGCAAGCAGCTGGTTATCACACATCTGGAGTTCTGGGCCCAGTCCTTACCCCAGAGCTTCCAGTCTGGCTTTTTGTGGATGTAAATCTTCTTATCAGTGAAGTGAAGATAATGCCACTTCAGCACACTGCACACTGTAGGAAAATTAAATGGATAAAATTTATGAAATGTTTTATATGTCAGACAAAGTATATATAAGACCTAAACATTCTTACTGAAAGCTCCAATAGCTGAATATCAGAAAACTAATAGGGAGAAAGGCATTCGAGACCTGGCAGAGAGGCTAGGCCTGATCTTTGGCACTAGTGCTTGTGGAAAATCAATTCAATCTCAGAGGAAAGCAGCCTTGGGAGGAAGGTGTAGGTAGAGAAGGCGTCACCCCAACACCCCTCACTGCACTCTTGAGACTGACCCTGTTCATCCCTGAATCACCCACGGGAAAATACTACATGTTGAGGTAATCTAATCAAAACCCATTTGCAGTTAATTATGCAGTCATGGATGAGATGCAGGCTGAGGCTGGGCTCCCAGGCACTGCTGGGGCACAGAATGGCACTGAGGACACCAGAGCTGTGCAGTCAGCCCCATGTGCCTCTGTCCACAGGGCTGAGGAGATGCTGCTGCTGCTGCCCTCACTCTCACACAGCTCCAGGAACATGGGGGTGGCCACGAGGATGGTGGTTTCCATAAAGCATTCAGTGCTAATGGGTTCAGTGCCAGTGCCTGTTGTGAGCAGGCAGCAGAGCAGCAGTGGGGCTGCACTGACGCAGCAAAAGCTGCAGCTCTCTGCAGGCTCTGTGGGCAGCAGCTGTGCAGGGCACCAGGGCTGGGTGTGACAGGCACCAGGGCTGGGTGTGATGGGCACCAGGGCTGGGTGTGTACAGGCACCAGGGCTAGGTGTTCATGTGCACCAGGGATGGGTGTGCACAGGCACCAGGGCTGGGTGTGCAGGGCACCAGGGCTGGGTGTGCAGGGCACCAGGGCTGGGTGTGCAGGGCACCAGGGATGGGTGTGCAGGGCACCATGCCTGGGGCACAGGGCCACCCCAGGGGGTGAGCACAGACAGGGCTGGCCTTGTCCTTGCTGTGGCCAGGGTGGCCACAGCCCCTGTGGCCGGGCAGGAGGCCCCAGGGAGCCTGGCCATGGCCAAGGGCACAGCCTGAGCCCTGGGAGCTCCGGGCAGACGGGATTGAGCCTGTCTCGACATCCCAAGCACGGCCACCATGTGCAGAGCTGCTCCAGGAGCCCCGTGCCACCACCCCAGGGCACGGAGCTGCTCAGGAGCCCTGCCTGTCCTGCGGGCAACCTGCAGGGCTTCCACACCTCCTTCGAGCCCTGGGGTGATGCAGCCATGCACTGGAGATGTGACTGCTCCAAATATTCCTTTGATCTGAAGGTTATTTTGCTTTTCCTAATAATTTCTTGATAACAATATAATTGGATGAGTCCTTAAGGCCATTTCACATACTAGATTTATTGGGAATATTGCCTGCATATTTAGAGTTAAGAGGGACAAATATTTTATTTCCTTTTTTTTATTCTCCCATTATTTATAGAGTTCTCTTTGAATCTTGTAAATACATTTTTTCATTTCCCTTCAGAGTTTGTCTTTCTCTTTGGCAAACATTGATTTTTTTTTTCATGTTTTTTCCAGTGAACCTTGAAATTAAAATGTCTTTTTTTGTTTAATTTCTTTTTTTGTACACTGGACTCATTGTCAGCACAGCAAGAGCAAGGTGCTTTGTTAGATTACTGCTGCTTCAAAGCTGCTGAAAGGAAGAGTTGACCACATTTTATTATTTGTGTGCAGTTCCTTCATAGGTTACAATTATCCTCTTTCACACACAAAGCCAATCCCAAGTTCTCAGCATTTGAAGGAAGCATTTAAATTGTTTTAGTATTTGATAATCAACTTTTACTGAATATACCCGTTTCAATAACTGTAGAATTTGCACAAATCAAAAATCACACAAATCACATGCACAGAAACAGCTATATACAAAAACAGTAAGGTTTACAGGCAGAGAGAATATATATTTTATTGGACCAGCTGATATAGTTGGGGAAAAAAAAAGGAAAAGTCTCAGTCACACAAGCCCTCTGAAAGCATTTCTGGATTTTTTTTTTCATCTATATCAACTGTTCTAATAAAAAATACTACTTCTCTCTGCAAACCTTTCCTCTCTCCTACCCTTTTACCATTGCAGCTACAGCAACACTATTTCTAGCAAAAAAAAAAAAATTGTATTTACATAGCAAAGAAACATATCACCATTTTTTCAAGTGTTTTTCATCAAAACTACTGTCTGTCCCCTTTCCTACAATAGAGATTTTATTTTTAAAGTAGAGTATTTTTAGTAAATAATAATTTTTATGATAATTACTTGGTCATTGTCATTTTATCTGCTGTAGCAGAAGAGTTCTCTATTACAGTTTTCACTGAGAATGCTTTTTTCTTTTGCTAAGTAGCCAGGGCACCATAGGTTGTGAAATTAAAAGCTTAAATTATAGTAGGGTAAAGTGGCTGGACCTAGGAACACAGATACATTTGTATCCTTGGTCAGCCTGAATGCCATCAGAAAGTTAGGAAATTCTTCAAAATATTCAGCTACAGTGAAATCCTCCATAAATTAAACAGGTTTTCTTTAGCTTTGTGACCTAGGGTTATACATTATGCTAAGTAAGTAAAACAGTCTATGTTCAAAGGCTAAAGAGCAGGTAGTAAGTATTTAAAGCAGCAAGAGTCATGTTAAAAAAAAAAAAGTATTTAAAAGTGGATTGTTCTAGGCTATAATAAACCATGATTTGTAAAAGGTTAATTGACAAAATGATACTCATCTAATGGCATCTCTGTAATAGCAATCATTGCTGAATTCAAAATTCAGGGGTCTTGCTATATTGACAATCCCATTTCCTCAAAAAGACTGCAGTTATTTCCTCAGTCTTTAACCCGTGGTAGCTGGTTACAGATTTACAAGCAGCACAGGCAGATACAGGTACCTGTGACCACTGTGCTGCTGGCAAGAAAGACAAACTCCAGTCTGCAGCCCGGGGCAGCCGGGTCTCCGCATGCAGATCCCTGCCAGGAGCTGACCTTTGCCTCGCTCGCCATCCCAACCGAGCGCCGGCGTGGGCGCTGGTAATTACCCTCACTGCACATCTGGCATTCAAGGAAGGGCAGCCTTGCCTCAAGGTTGCTATGCTTAGGTTCAAATCCCATTTTTGCAGAGCCTCTGACCTGTAAATCTGATCTGCTTTCCTCCAAACCGTATTTCTTATTCAATGAGATACAATATGTTAGCAGTGAACAAAACAGTTTGATTTTAAGAATAGCAACAAACATTCAGTCAAAGTCTTTCCATGGGCACGTTGTCAGTGGCAGAGATACCCTCCTCATGACAGAAAAGATTCCTTTTTAACGTTTTTTTCCCCCTAAGATATTATGCCAAATGAGAGCTATTTTGTTTACTTTCTCAATTTTGTAAAAAGCAGCAGCTCCTAAACAGAAGGACAAATGGAGTCACTGCAATTGTTACTTTGCAGAAAGGACTTCCCAGGCACTGGCTGCATCAGCAGCTTTTGTGAGCAGAGTGCAGTGCCACACAATCACTTCTATCCACACCTGCTACAAGTTATAACCAAAAAAAAAGGCACAGGCTTGCTAAAAAGGGGCTATTAGAATGTCTCCTTAATTATGATTCATTACTTCTTTTTTTAACAGTACAAACTTGTCAGCTATAACAAAAGATGTTTAAGAAACAAACCTTGTCAAAATAAATGAATTAAGAGCATTCATCCTTTTCCAGAGTGTGAAGTTTGTAAAGTGATAATGAATTCCGTAATGCGTTAGCCAGACTTCTTAAAACGTGTGTACCACTTACTCCATAACTTGCAAAAGTTTTGTTATTCTCACTGAATCTCCACTTATGGGCACAAGTTATCAACATTTGATTGTAATTTGACTTTGAGCAATTCAGATATTATTCTTCCAAGTGCAAGGTGCTTTCTCTGTGCAGAAGCCTGTTAAAGTCACATGAAATCCACATGAAATCCAAAGGCATGCTACCATTGCCTTTGCTGTTACTTGGCAGAGCCTTGTGCTGCAGAAGGTGTAGAGCATCTTCTGCCTGCCAGGGTCCTGCCAGGGCATGGGCTGTCCCCCTGCACTGGCAGGTGAATCCTGTCTCAGGAGCTGGGGTTAAACCTTATCCCAGGTCAGTGTAGGAGTTCAGCAAAAGCAGGGCCAGGCCATGACTTGGACTAAGCTTCCAATGACAATTTAGGGTCTGCTTTCCCAAGCCATTGCTTTCCTTACATGAATGGGTGCAGTTCCATAGTGCTAATAAATTCTGTCCAGGCATGATTGATACTGTGGGCCCAGCAGTATCACCAAGTCCACCCACACACACACTGATCTGTGCATGCAGCTCCCTCCTGGCTTTAGTCCCTTCATGAACTGGGCACCAGCACAATCTTCCCATCCCTCTACGAGACTAACCTTCCAGCTCATTGACTGTTTTCAGAACCATCTCAACATCTGCCCAAGACCCATTTCATATCCCTGATTTTGCCCCCTTACTGTCACATCCGTGACTGTTCACAAGTGTATGGTTCTCTCTATCACTGCACCAATCTTGGTGCTCCTTTCAAATAGCAGAGCTGCTGGAGAGAGTCACTGATCTGAGAAATTTTTGCGTGCAGTAAATGAGCACCCAGAACTTCCTCCATGTAAAGAAATCTTTCCAGTAGTGACATGGCATAGCTCATTTCATCAGATGAGCATTTAATCAGATGAGCACTCACTTACCGCAAAAAATAGATTATGCTTATGACTTCTAGTTATCTAAACCAAATTCTCTGAAGAACTGCTCAGATTCCTGAAGCCTCATAAGATTGTGGCTTTTGTTTTCCAAAAACCAAAGGCAGCTGCTGCAGACCCACCATTCTTATGCCTTGGAGCAGTGCTGGTACTGTCCCATTTGCTGCCTGGGGTGGCAGGGCTCGCTCACCCTCAGCATCCTGTCGGTGCTGGGAAGAGAGGCTGTCTCCCACCTCATCACCACACCACCTCCCTGCTGCTGCACCTTGCGCAGAGGCACTAATGTCACACTGCATCCAGGCTCCTCTGGCTCTG